ATATATATATATATTTACACATACATACACATTTGATAAACATTTGCTCAAAGATCCTGCAAAAGAAATACATCGCAACTACCATTATTTAATTCTACTGGTCCTCTGCTTTCAGAAAATATATATTGTTTAGGGGGTTATAAGTAGACTTTCTAGACAAAAATGAGCATTTTAGCATTTGTGTTAAAAAAAAAATGGTCTTGGGGTTAATATATACCATACTTATATATCTATATGTAACCTCTGAACAGGGCCGGACTGGCCATAGGGCATACCGAACACAGTCAGCCTGATTGTGCTCAGCGCGGCCGTCCCGCTATGTCTGATGCATAGCGTCGGCACTTGGCTGCCCGATGCTATGTATCAGCCTTATCCGAGCCCTGCTCTAACGCTGTATATCTGCCTGCAACATGCAGGGCAGTGAGAGCCAGAGAGTGATCTATCTGATCCATCCGGCCAGCGGTCCGGCCGCCTGCACTCCGCTTTGTGTGGTGCAGTGCCGCAGCGGGTGGGGCGCAGGGACGTACTGACCATTCGGCTGCGGCCAGGGCCGCCATCAGGGGACTATGTTGAGGCGGCCGGGCCAGACTCCCGCAGCGGTGGCGGCAGAGGAGGCTTGGGGCCCCAGCAGCTCCAGGAATCGGATAGTGACTGGAGATGGTCGTGCGGCGGCGCCCGGAAGTGAGGAGAGAGCCGGGTGGGAGGAGGAGCTAGTGCAGCCTGCAGGCACACTCTGGGGGCTCAGCCTGGAAGAACGAGCAGCAGCCACCTGATTAGAGACCCACTACCTCTTCCTGCTGCATGTGTTCCCACCACGAGGACAGTCCAAAGAGGTAAGTACTTTATTCTATGTGCCTTCATTGTTGTAACCCTCTGTAACTGATGCAATTGATTTGCATTCACGTATTGCTGGGAGTTGTAGTTCTCTATAGCTGGTGCTATTCTCTATATATGGTGCTATTCTGCATTGCAGCAGTGTAGAATGGCATCAGCTGTAGAGGACTACAACTCCCAGCAATACTTTATACAGAAATGCAGAATGGTAACGGGTATAGAGGACTACAACTTTCAGCAGAACTTTATACGGCAATGCAGACTTGCAAACGCTGTATAAAATATTGCTGGGAGTTGTAGTCCGCTACAGCCAAAGCCATTCTGCATTGCCGTATAAAGGATTACTGGTAGTTGTAGTACTCTATAGTCGAAACCATTCTGCATTCCGTATAAAGGATTACTGGGAGTTGTTATACTCTATAGCCGAAACCATTCTGCATTGCCGTATAAAGGATTACTGGGAGTTGTAGTACTCTATAGCCAAAAACATTCTGCATTGGCGTATAAAGTATTGTTGGAAGTTGTAGTTCTCTAGAGCTAAAGCCATTCTGCATTGCTGTATAAGGGCCGGTGCACACCTATGTGACACTGTACCGCGCGGCAATCGTGCACGACTTCGGGCGTATTGCCACGCGGTAAGGAGTCGTATAGGTGTGCACTGATCGCGCTGTAGGTGCCATTATTTTTCAATGGCACTCCAGTCGCGCCGGGCGGATCGCGCGGTTTCCCGCTGCGATTCCGCCTGTCCTCCTGATCACGATCGCGGCTACAACAGCTGCGCGTCATGTGTCGCAGAAAAAAGGTACAAGTACTTGCAGTATAAGGTATTGCTGGGAGTTGTGGTCCTGTATAGCAGCAGTCGACAACCTTTTTGGAATCAGGGAACCGGTTTAGCTGACATTTTTTTCCCACGGAGCAAGGGGGGTGAGGGGAGAGAGGGGGGGATGGTTTTGGGATCGCATTTATTGTGCACTTTATTTCTATTATTATTACATCGTAATATATAATGAAATTATTTTGCAAGTCACCATATGCAGAATCAGTGGGAGCCCTGAGTTTGTTTTTCTGCTCCCAGGTGGTCAGTGCATGTGTTCTGGTGGGCCGCGTCTGCCTGATCCAGCCAGCCTATACACTTCCGTCAAGGGGGAGGAGGAGAGCGGCATTCACCGCGGCCGATGCGCCCCAGCCTGGAACGCAGTCGGGAGGAGCCAGGAACCCGAGGGATATTACAGGCGGACGCGGCCCTCTAATCAGGCCAGATTAGAGAGCCGCATCTGATGCAGGCGGACTGGCAGCTGCAGCCACAGCAGACCCCCCACAACCAGTGTCCAGGGAGCCCCACTGACCACCAAGGTAAGGTGACATTTTTTTTTAGGAAAGGATTTTTTAAATGTTTAATGACTGATCTCTTTGCTGAGTTCTTCTCTCTTTCTCTTAGCCTGGGTGTGAGTTCCAATCCTTTTCTTTATGAATTTAAAAAGCTCTTTTGTCCTTTGACACTTTCTGCAACTCCATGGTGCGTTTCATATGGGGCAAAGCCACATACATCACGGATCATGTCACGGACAAGCTTGGTGTGCTTTGTCAGGCACCTTCTCCTGCGAGAGTGTCTGTGACATTCTTGGTTACTGGATGGCCTTTATTAAAAGAGAACTATGGGGGTAAGTTTTTTTCCCCATAGTTCTCCTCAGTGTCACCGGAGGACATATACTAACATCCTCCCGTGACCCAAAGCTCAGGAAATCGCGAGCTACAGCTCGTGGTATACTGAGACAGCTGCAGCCGGGACGGATACCGACATTACTGTCGAGATCCACCCAGCTCCCTGATTGACAGCTGGCTCTGCCTATCTAGAGGCAGAGGCCTGCACCCACCCCGGCGAGCTGCTGTACACCTGCTGGGTTCATTATGAGGAGTTCCCACCATCCCTGAACTGAGTTGCTGGGTCTATACATCTGCTGTGCCCATTTTGAGGGGTTCCCACTATCGCTGTGCCGAGTTCCTGAGTCTATACACCTGCTGTGCCCGTTATGGCGGGTTCCCACCATCCCTGTGCTGAGTTTCCGGGTCTGTACACCCACTGTGCCCATTATGAGGGGTTCCCACCATCCCTGTGATGAGTTCCTGGGTCTGTACACCTGCTGTGCCCATTATAAGGGGTTCCCACCATCTTTGTGCTGAGTTACTGAATCTGTACACCTGCTGTGCCCATTATGAGAGGTGCCCACCATCCTTGTTCTGAGTTTCTGGGTCTGCACACCCACTGTGCCCAATATGAGGGGTTCCCACAAGGCCCGGACTGGCTATTGGGCAGTGAAAACAATTAGGCTGAGCCACACACATTTAGTGTTAGCTGGATGTTGCACAGTTCTGTAACTATAATGCAATCTCAATTTTGTTTGGCTCCGCCTCTGGGTTTGATGGGGCGGGGCCTGCTAGGGATTGTGATTGTGCTGCTAAGTCTCAAATGCCCGGGCCTATTTTTAGTCCCAGTCCGGGCCTGCCTCTGAATAAAGGTTTTTACGTAAAGTAGTGATACCAACAATGACCCATTGTCTGAAGAGCAACTACAGCAGGGGTGGGCAACTCTGGCCGTCCAGCTGTGCTTTAACTACAAATACCAACATGCATCTGCCTCTGGGAATTGTGCCTGTAACTGTCAGTCTTGCAATGCCTCATGGGACTTGTAGGTCCACAACAGCTGGACGACCAGAGTTGCTCCCTGAAACCCTGAATTAGAGTTTGATATATATACAGCTGTTCAGTGGTATGGTAGCTAAGCTGTTGGTACTCCTGACTTCTGATGTCTTGGCTTCAGTTATAATAAAGCACACAATCTGCATGATTATTTCCCCCAGTGTTGGTCTGGGTTTTACCTAAGTGCTTGAGTTTAGTCTCATACTAAAAACTATACCATTTAGAAATGTCCCTGCGATTGTAATAGGTACATAGGTAAACTGTAAAATCTATTGGCGGCTGGAACTGCTATGGTCTTTTTTTTTTTTTTAAGCAAGTATGTCTTTATTGATTTTGAATCACATAAGAGACATGGCATTTAATGCATTACGAACAATAAGTTTGTTACAAAGGCAAGTAGCCAGCCGGGTATAAGCCATGGACAAGCAAGTAATGCATTGGCATCATTATAACAGATAATAACATATAGCATGGAATAATAATACAATCTCTAATTCTGTATGTATTGAACAGTAATAAAGTCATGGAAGTAGGATGGGGAAGGGAGGTGGGTTGAGGGGGGAGGGGGAAGGAAGAAGGAAGTAGGACTACCCCCAATTTGTCGTCTATACCATTTCGGATGACATCTGGGGGTTACAGGAGAGGCTGTGGCAGAAGGGGAAGGAGGAGAGGGGGGAAGGAGAGGAGGAGGGATGGGGAGAAAAGAGGAATGAGTAGTTAGATAGTAGTAACTGTTAGATACTCTGACAACTCATATAAAAGAGATTCCCAGTAGTTGCGTCTCAGTATACCGCGAGTTGTAGCTTGCGGTATACTGAGCCTAGGGTGACGGGAGGATGCTAGTTTGTGTCCTCCCGTTACCCTAAGGAGAACTATGGGGAAAAACACTGACCCCATAGTTCTCCTTTAATGTATGAGGTGCACTGCAAGGGGGACATTCTAGTGGAGGGGACTTCACCTGGTTGTGGTCGTGAAAGGGGGAGTAGGTAATAGTGAATACGAATGAAAAAACGCTATGGTCTTAGTACACTGTAAAGTTTGTAGATTTTTTTTTTTTGCTTTGTATAAATTAATAAAATAAACAAAACATTTTGCCTTTATTTATTTTCTGTCAACAATGTAATGTATGTATGCTGTGTTTATTTATTTATTTGTGTTATTGTCCTTTTAGTTGCAGTTTTCTTGCACCACAGTAAAGTCATGGAGGAATTGATTGATAACGTGTTGGGAGTGAGAATAGCACCTTGCCTTGTGCATTTCATGGATGTGTCAGTCGGGAAGACATACCAAGCCAAAATAATCGTACAGAATATCAGTCATGTAGCCAAATCTATCAAGGTTATTGGACCACAAAACGCACAGGTAGGAACAACTTCTCCTGTTCTGCTGCTACGGTATTCAGTTAGTTTAAAGGGAATGTCACTCTTGTTTTATTGCTGCAAACAAATATATCAAGCAGAATTGTAATACTACTGGGTTCATTTTAATTGTGTGCTACAATGCTTTCAATTTGTTTGTTTTTTTTTGTTCTATTTATTCATTTTTTTGTTTTATTTGGCACTGTTGTGGTTTAGAGAATGGTAGAAAGCTGTATGGACATGGTTGTAATAAGTATTTCACTTTTGTGTATATAAAATGTATTAGGCCCTATGTTTGAAATATCTGATTATTAATATAGGTATTTATGTAGCGCTGCCAATTTACACAGTGCACATTCACATCAGTCGCTACCTTCCAGTAGATTACAATCTAAGGTCCCTATCTCACATGTCAACTAACTGTGTGTCCTGACTGGGATTTGAACCGGGGACCCCCAGTGCTGCAAGGAAGTGCTAACCACTACACCACTGTGCTGTCTTTCTTTCCTAGCAATCAGGGACATAACTATAGCCATAGCAGCCCAGGCAACTGCTATGGGGCCTGGGGATGGAAGGGGGCCCCATTAGTTTGTTGTGGCAAATTAACTGGTTGCCAAACTCACGTATAAGGGTCGGTGGGTGTTTATTGTTTATAAATA